TTTAAGAATTTTGGATTTTTTTTGTAGTAAAAATGATCGTCGGGAAGAGTTCAATATGTATATTGCATATGTTGCAAAAGTGTTTATAAATAACTACTTATTTTATTTTCAATAGTATTTTTATTCAAACTTCGTACAGTCTTCTACTCTTCTTGAGCTTTTATAAAAGCATCTTGTTTTTTAGAAGATAGTGTTCTTATAGAAATAGCTAAATAATATGCATAAGCATTGCAAAAATTTTTATATAGATTTGTGGAATTTTTGAATATTAATTTTTTATCGAATTTTGAAGTATTTAAGACCATTTGTATTTTGCATTTTTAATTTTTTTTTAATACGTTTCAGAAATATATATAATCAAGATTTTTGTCTCAATGTGTTTGTATAAACAAATTCTCTAAAATTTTCTGGCATACATATGTATATGTTTTTGTATATACATATGTATACCTACTTATTGCTATTGCTATGTTGTTCATGAATTTGATATTTTATGGCTAATTATATTTTTTATTGATACATTCGAACTTGGTAGAGCCAAATTTACTGATTTTATTAGCATATATATTTAAGAATACTCATTGATGTGAGAATTTTATATGATTTTAAAAGACTGATAATGCAGATAAGTGTTTATAACTATTTTTTTCTTTTTTATTTTTATAATTGTTTATTGTTGCTGGATGCATTTTTGTGAATATTTAAGCTATGCAGTTCAATATGGTTTAATTGACTATATAATAAAGGCTGATTTTGAAAATTATACTATACTGTTCCCATTTTATAATATTAGGATAAGAATTATATTTTAACTTATCAGTATAATATAATTTTAAAATTAGCATATACTATACACAATGCTATCACTAGAATAAGTCCAGTTAAAAAAATTACTGGATTAGACTGAAATAAATATTGAAAGTATTTAAATCTAGTTATTCTAGTCTAGTTATTCCAGTCTAGTTATTCCAAAAAATTATAAATACTTTTAAATGCTTAAATTTATAATTAGAGCAATTAACAGAAAATAGTTTAATTAATAAGTTCATTATTATATTAAAAAAAAGATAGGTAAAGATTATCTTTTTATTATACTAATTGGTTAAAATTTAATAACTGTATTTTTTGCAATATAAATTTTTAGCAAAATTATTATAAAAATTACTTAAATTAACTATAGTAGATAGTACTAGTATATAATAAAAATTTTTTGGCAAAATTTATTTAAATATTTACATGAAATTATTACTTATAAAAGCTTAAAAATGCTAAAACCCAAAAGAGCAAAATGTTGGTGTTATTGAAAATATTTATTTAAAAAAAAATTTTTTTAATTAATTGCGAAAAAAAATTTATTTTTTAATTGCAGTGCATTTTAGTTCTAATTAATGATGTAATTGGTTTCATCCAATAAAAAATAATAACATATAGCCAATCAGAAACATTAAAGTTTATATCATGTAAATTTATATAACTGTAAAATTGTCTAGACAACCCTTCTAATTCCAGTACTCCATATTCCAGTAGACTGGACTGGAGTAAAATATATGTTCCAGTGGAATAGTTTAGTCCGGGTAACAGCACTGACTATATAGCATCCAAAGTTAAATTTCCTATAACTCTTTTATATTATTTACGTTGATAAGATTCTAATCATTACAATAGTAAGTATTTTTTGTTCGTTTTCTTATTGAGTATAATATTTGACCAGTTTAACTATATAAATTTGTTTACATACTAAGAATGATTCAAATAATTATTAAAATAAGCAACTTTGAGTAATGATTAAGTAGACTTTATATTGGAAAATCTATAGTTAAAAAAGCTATATCGAGAAATAAAGTTGAGTGCAGACCTACAAACACTATGATATATAAAGTAAAAGGACAGAGATGTAGATCAAATTATATTGAAACTACATGTAATTTTTGATTGAAGTTAATGATTCTTATACCATTCAATTTATCTCAGACGAATCGAATAGTGTAAAAAGTATTTGATTCTGATTAACAGATTTTATGTAATTGTACAAATACTTTTTAATGCTAAGCAAACACAAGTCAACTTAAATTTTAAATCTACTGAATTATCCTCTTCACCTTATGTCCTTATATTAAATTGTTAAAAGGACAAACAATAAAACTAAAATTTTTGATAATTTATTTCAATTCTGCCATATAGACATTAATATTATACATGCCAACTATATTAATGAATTGCGCATTTTAAATGCATGTAAAGTTATCTAATACGATGTATCTTTAGAATTGTGAGAATTTTTGTTTAAAGTAGAAAATATATTATTGTTTTTTATCATTGTGAACTAGTGAAATATTATGATTTTTATGCAATGCATTTATAAATTAGACATGTTTATCAGAATATGAAAGCTTCTTTTCTAATACTTCAAATTAACAAACCCTTTGTTATAAATTTAGCAAACAGATATTCCAATTTGCCGAAATATTTACAATTAAATAGTGTTATACATAAATAATAGTTGCAGGAATTGTGTGAAAATATATATACATATGTGAAATTGATTTTTAATATCTATATATATACTTAGTATGTTAGATATGTGCATATATATATGTCAATATTGGAATATGCAATATGCATATACTGTATGTTGGTGGATTTTATTGTATATGTCGTACGTACATATGTATGTCAGTGATTTAGAATAAACATAGATTGTATATAATAGAATTCTAAAATATGTATTAGACATTAAAGAATTCCAATTCAGCTTTTAACAAAATTATATATAATCCAAATTATATTATCTTTGGAATTTAAATCACTTTAAGATAGGATTTATTCATAACATGGTGTATTGCAATTTAATACATAGTTGTGTTTGCCAAAACCTTAATATGTATATGTAAAAACAAAAGTTTTCATATAAGGTTTTATGTTGCCTATTTGTCAACTCATTACTAAAGTATTTGAAAAGCAATTCTTTGAATACATTATTACAGAGTAAAAATAGATAATCTTAATATTTGGTCATCAGGTAAAAAGAGTTACAAAGAATAAAAATATAAAACAAAAAATAATGTTTAAAGTATCGAATTTAAATCAATTTAAGTTGCTATGTAAATTGCTATATATATAGAATCAAATATAAAATTGACTTGGAATTCTGGTTCAATCTAAGTAAATTCTATATAACATATATACTCATTTTACAATACTTAATCAAATATATATATATATCGTACATGGGAACAGAATTATAGTTAGAGATAAGCAAAGTAATTTTGTAAGTATGACTTAATATAAAGTAATATTAAATAATTATTATATTTAATTATCTATTACATATATATAAACATATGATAAAAGTTAGAAATAGGTAATCAAAATTGAAATTGACCAAAAAGTTGTTATAATAATAAAATTATTGTAAAATTACTTAATAATAGGTAATAATATAATTATAGTTACGTGTGACTAGTTGTACTCTCGTTATACTGATGTAATATGTAAGCCAGTCTTCGGACGGCCTACCCGTTTGAACTAATAAAGTGCCAGGGGTCTAAGTAGTCACCTTAATATTAAAATATATATATATATATATATATATAATTATAGTGGGTTTGTAATCTACTTAAATTAATTCCGAATACTTAGATTGTAGTAGTTTATTATATTATGTAATTTGCTGCTACGTTAGCCAATTTTATAGTATTAAAATTATCTGTATTATTAAATTATTTTCAAATTTATCAGTTACACATTCATTATGTACTAGGATTAAATTTCAAATCAACTTAAAATTTCATATTAATTTTTTTTTTTTTTTTTAATATCAGGTGTGGGTAGGTGGAGGTAGCCTTATAATAAATTTAAATCAGCTGATTTTTGAAAGCCCCTAAGCCTAATTCCCACTTTTTATCCAAAAAAAAATTCTAAGAACAGCAAGAGTTGTAGTAAGTAATTTTAAAGATAAAAAGCAACCACTTGCAAAACTTGTAAAAAGTGTGTTGAAAAATAAAAGCTTTTGTTGTTCTTCTTGTCTTTTTTGTTTAACTCTTAAAAGACTTCATCAATAGAAACTCTCCTCTCCAGAACACTATCTCTACCAAAATTTTCTATACAAGGGCACCTTCTGCCAATTATCTTGTAACAAAATGCTTTTGGCTTGCATGCCGAATATGTAAAGGAGTTGAGAGAGTAGAAAAGCAGTAACCTCTATAAAAACCATCTCATCAGAATACAAAGCAATGTTATCTTTAACAAAATTTTTATTTTTCTTTGGGTGGAAAATTTGGAACAAGTGATTATCAAAAAGAGTTTAATATGCTCTATTAATATCGAATAATTTCAAAATAAAGTTTTCTGATTTGCTTTAAACTTTCAGATTTAGAATATATGTATTTTTATATCCTAAACAACTTCTATTAAGTAACTTTTATCGATTTACTTAGTAGAATTTTGACTTTTATATATAAAAACTACTTTTGAATTTTAAAAAATTATTCAAGGTAGCTTATTTTCGGAATAAAAAGTTTCTTATATTCCTCTTTCAAGAAAAGAAAAAGTAGCTTATTTTTGGAAATATATAATATATTAATTTGTTGCTATATATCAATATATATTTGTTATAAAAATTTTCTAATATAGATTATATATATATATATATATTTTTCTTTAATAACCTTGTACTAATTTATTAAAATATTATAATTTAAAAATTAATTTATCTAAATACATATTAGGCAAAACCCAGCTGCTATAAAAGTGTCCAAGAATGGTTATTGCACTGATGTTTGCCAACAAGTTTCATATACAGTAATACCCACATTTAAAAACCTGCTATAGTATAGTACTTAGCTATCTTATTTCTTACACTATTTTTTAACTTTATTTTGATCACCATTTTGCTAAAAAAGAACTTGAGATTTGTAATCTTATTGTTTCTATTGCTAACTTATAAACTTTAACTATTTTTTCACCAAAAGTAACCAAAGTATTCTTCTTTTTCTCTAATCTTACTATTTTGGCTTCTCCTTCTTGCCCTTTCTGTCTTTTGTTCAGCTGACTTGCTAAAGCTGTTTTGTTATCTACCAGGGGATCTTCTGAGTTTCTATATCTTTTCCCATTTTTTATAGTCGAAACCTCTTCTCTTGTCCACTTGGCCTGCTTTTTTTGTTGCTTTTTTGGATAGTTTTCTGTTGTATCGACACTTCTTGCTGATCCTTCATTTTCTGCTATAAAGTTAGCTTTTGCTCAAAAAGTACTATTATCTCTAGGTATTTTTCTTCTCTTGATAACTCTGCTTATATCTATACTTTCTTCCCATAATACAACTTTCTTATATCTTTCTCTTTATATTACTTTATAGAAACATTCTTGTATAATATACACTAGTATATCGTAGCATTGTCTACTAGACTTGTGTCTTTCATTTAATACTTGTAGTTTTGAAAAATTGGCATGGCAAGCCAAACCAAATGTGAGAGCTTTTCTTTTTTTTAAACTTTTTTCTTGCGTATTTCCAAAGACTACTTTTTTAATTTCCTCTATAGAACACATAAGCCTAGTTTCTTCTTCAAGCATGGCTCAAGCTGTTGAAAGAGTTTAATTTTCTATTTGTTTCCAGACCTCTTGATTAGCTTCGCAGCTAAAAAGATGATTTGTATTTTCTATTTTCTTATTTTTACAAATTATACACATTGGTGAAGTGTATATATCTGAATTGTGTTGATGAAGTTGTAAATTATATTTAAATATTAATTATATTTATTTAATATTGGTTATTATATTTATATTTATTAAACAAGTGTAATGACTTAGTGTAGTAGTCTAGTCATTATCCTTTCCAAGTGGCAGGTCTAGAGTTCAAATTCCACGGATAACGATATTTGAAAAAATAGACCTGTATTTGGTTGATGGCTATGCTTATTGGTTGGATCTAGAATTAAATCTGTAATTTCAGTTACACTATCTAGAAATAGGAGCTTTGGTGCAATAAATCTGAGGAACCAGTATAATCGAAAACTCATTTGAGAAGTTCTGAATTTGGATGTAATAGTAATCTTCAATAGTACTACAAAAGGGCTAAATTTGAACTGGGGCCTAAGATTAGAAAACCGAGCAATCAGGTCCTTAAGTAGGAGAACACATTGGCTAAACCGCTAAGCTAACACACCGGAGGAAAAGAGTATACATTTCAAAAGTATGGACCAAGGGGAGGGCATCCTTCAGGCACCTAAAGCCTAGGCAGACCAATCTATCCGGGTTGCTAGCTAGAAGTAAAGGAGGGATTGATAAAAAATTCAGATAAAGAGATAGTTCCAAGTGTGGGTACCGGAGTTATTATAAACTGAATAAGGGCAAGGAGTATATAATAGGCGACTAATTAGAAAGGTTGTAGCTTGAGATACAAATTGGGTTATAGCAGCATCCTAAAAGTTGGCTTGAAATACAGACCCAGTATCGGCAGTACAACAGGTACTAGTTAGTAAGAAATTACCAAATATACAGGTGAATACATATATGGAACATGTACTACTCTGTTAGGTTTACTCTTGAGAATAGTTAAGTGTTCTAAGTTGGCTAGTAAATGTAGTTGGTATCACCAAATCTAATTCCTATATAATGAATTATATTTGCATTAAGTAGGGTTAGGCTAAATATGTTAAAACCAGAAGGCTTAAATAAATAATCCTGTAAATGGATTGCAGATATGGCAGATAGTATAAAACAACTATCTCAATAGCATCTCAAAAAAATTTATAATAATTAAAGTCTTAAAAGCTTATTAATATTAGATTTAATGTTTATATTAGTATTTATCATTATTAAAATATATAGTAAAATCACTCAAGAAAAACTTTTTATTAGAGCACTAAAGTGGTTTCATATTTAGATTTTTGAGTTATGGGCAATTTTTAGCAAAAAGAACATTTGTTTTTAATTTTCTGATCATGTTATATTAGTATTACGTTATATCTGATCTTTATCTGTGATTGGTTTGTGGTTATGGTTTTCAAAAATTTTCGAGCTACTGTTGGGGTAGTTAGTATAGAACCCTTAGCATAGTACAAACACTTTAAGTAGACTACTTAAATTAGGCACCAAAAGTGCACATGTAGCTTGATATACCTTTGTCATAATATATAGTGTTTAATACTTGTTTAATAAAATCTTGCTAACAATTAAAATTATCTTTGCCAAAAAAAAAGATTTATATTTATTTATTTATTTATTTTTTAACTCTTTAACAGTCTTGTCAAAGCTCAAATACAAAAACTTTATTTATTTAATTAACAATAGTAAACTATTCCAACTAAACTAAGCCTTAAAAATTGCAAACTTGACATCTTCTAGTTGCGGAAACTATGTCTATGAGCAACTTTTCACGCCATCTTGTATATAAGTTAGATAAAACTTGTTAGCCTGTCAAGAGCTAATCCCTTTAATTCTTTTTTCTTTACCAAGAGCAAGAGAAAGTAGTAATTTTATACTAATATTACAAAACCACCGATTATGAAACAAAAAGAAAACTATATCTAATAAC